GTATAGGAGCCGGGATGGCGGCCTCTATCTCAGCAGTAATTGACGTTTTTCGAGTTTTGAGTAAGCGCTCGGTACGTAGTACGAAGGAAAGATATCCTGGTGACACTCCCATTTTGCTACCATGCAAGGAAATAGTGTTATCTGACCGGAAATAACCTTGTACAGATATATAATATAGCTATAATTTAAAATTTCAAGGGGTTGTAGCTCAGTGGTAGAGCGCTCGCTTTGCATGCGAGAGGCCCGGAGTTCAAACCTCCGCTGCTCCATCGGTTTCTTTTTGGGTAATCTTTTTGACAACCTGGGTTGCTCGAATTTTTTGACAACCCCTCTCCGTACCAAGTTTATGCAACACACTTTTTCTGTTTCAAGATAAGAACATCAAGAAAAGAGGCGAAACTCTTTGGGAAGACTTGTTTTCCTTTGCTCTCCCTTTAAGCACTGTTGGTATACTCTTGAAGGTGATCGTTGAAGCACTATTGTTGAATATGACACTTTTTTGGCTATCTGCAAGCCGTGTTGATGACGACAAGGGTCGTTAGCTTCATGATGCGGACTGCAAGGGGGCTGGCAACCAGTTGAGCGCAAAAACTGCGAGTGTTCGTTATAAAAACAAGGCAATGCAATGTGGAAATAAGAAGGCGAAAAGTGTGTTACATGGACTTGACACGGAAATGGAACATGGGTTCTAAAATAATTCGAACAACCCGGGTTGTCAAATAAATTAACCCTTCTTTTTTGCTCTTTGCTTTCTGCAGTGTCGGCGGCAGGTTGATCTGGATGAAATTCAGAGATCAGCTCAGCGCTGCTGCTCCCCAAGGCCAAAGGCACCGAGGTCAAACGGACTTCGTTGGATTGATTCACTACGAGTGCCGCTGCATGCGGGAAATATCTTATTTTTTTTCCTTCGCGCGGAAATGATTGGAGTTTTGAGAACCGATGGTGTTTCCTCTTTAAAGCTGTGTTGCATGTGTGGAGGGCCCTGAAATGAAGGTACAGCGGCACACTTTACATGGGACAACTTATATGAAGTTAATGCAAGAGTCGACTTCTGTAAGTGAGGGCAAGCTGCCAGCACAAAGTAAAAAACCTATAGCCTATACTTTTTCTGACAAGTTCGTGCTGAACATTTCTCCATCCCAAAGGGCACTCTGGCGTCGGCAATAGCGACAAAAAAAAAAAAAAGCAATGTCTCTCCATCTTTTTTTATCTCTTGCGAAACTGGGGTGCTATGCGGCACTTGCACTGGCAGGTGCACATGGGCATGTTCGCGTACGATTAAATAGTATTGGTAATATAGCCCTGATGGCTACACAACAAGTGCATGCAGATGCAATTGTGTCTTGGTCTGTTCACACCAGATATCAACAGTCCTGTTTTTATTGCCGCAGGGAAATGTCATGCTGAGAACTCATTTATTCGCATGATACGGTCGGATCAGCAAAGACGATCGACGATGCGAGTAACCGGGATATCCTTGCGCCTCCTCCTCCAGCTGCACTTCCGCCCGACTGTGGCCGCGTATGAGTAGGTGAGAGAGGGCTAGCGGTTGTCGCCGGACTTGAGGTCGCAATGGGCGGAAGTCCTGACCCAGCTCCACCCGATCCTTGATAACTGGAGATAGTAGGGCCGGACAAACTGATTGACGACGAAAACGCAGAAGATACACGCCTATTATGTTGCTGTTGCTGTGTGCTGTTCATGGTGACGCTCGTATGTGCCGTGGCTGTTCCTGCGGTGTGCGCGTGCTCGGAACTAAACACAACGGAGGACTGTAGTGCACGCGATGCTGCCTTGCTGATCGTGCTAGCGCCATTGCTATGGCTGGTACTGGTATAATGGCCGCTGAAGCTACATGTATTGCTGTCTGCGAGCACGGAGCTGGGTATAGGTGCACTAGAAGTGTTGGTATGATGACGCCCAAGTGTCGCCAGATCGTCGTCGTCGACCTGAATGGTTTCCCCGCAGTCCTGGAGCTTGAACCCTTCAAAGATGGCAAACATGTTGGGTTGAGGGAGGTGCCGCTCAAGTTGGAAGTATTTACTAAGGAAGCGGTATAGCTTTGGGCTCGGTCGATCATATGCAATTTGGTTGGGCTTGATGTCTTCGACCTAAGGGGTTATTTTCCCAAGTTATTGTGAAGTTTGACAGAGCGACGGAATAGGGTCATGACAAGCGGGAACAAAGGGAACGAGGGAAAAATCAGAGATCAATGAGAGCCATGAACAGAATGCATGCGGCTACAGTTCCGGGAAGCACCCAAAAATAACCCCCTCCGCAGGCCAATGGTACCATCCAACATTACCTTGAGCATGTAGTCGAAGAGGAGTTTCCCAAAGCCTCGACGTTGGCATGACTTTTCCACATAAAAATCGAGAACGCAGCACACCTCCTGCTCATGCATAGTTCCAAACTTGTCCTACATGCAAAAGATAAAGACATGTGTTGGTACATAGATCAGAATGTGTGTGTGTGTGGGGGGGGGGAAGATGAGTCGGGCCGTCCATGCTTGTATACGCACGCAGAAAAACGATGCCCTGTTTCCACCCTGAAAGATGAATGGGAAAAGCGACAAGAAAAACTGAGGGGTAGACATACCACAATGAAAAGCTTCTTCTCTCCAATCTTGAGCATTCCTGCAACATAGACCCCCTTTTCTTCACTGCGGCTCTTCACACTCCTCTTGGACATATTTTCCTGCGGTGACATGGCTGAACTTCGGTCCTGCTCTGCTCCCTTTTCATCCGCTCCTGAAGAGAGTGTTGGGCCATGAAGATCCCATAGACTCTTTCGAATCGACTCTGTCATCAACGGTGATCCTATCTCGAGCTGATTCAGCCATTGATCTTCGCCACTTTCTAGCCCTGTACGCAGGATGTACACGCGTTGTGTTGGATTCTTGGCCAGCCGCAATGTTTGCGTGATGGATGTCGGCAGTTCCTGGGCCTGGATAGAGTTCAGTAAGGTGCCGAGTATGAATAAATGTCGTCCGAGTTCAAATCATGAGGGCAAAATGGTCAACAAGATTTGAGAATGCTTACTCTTGCAGAAGCCTGTCCAAGTGCGTCGACAATAGCTCCAAGACGCTCCTGGTCTGTGAGTGTAGTAGAAGTAGTGGTGCTAAGGCCAGAAGGGCAGTTTGAAAGCACTGAGGATGACGAGAAGGACGAGCTGCTAGAGGTACTCAGGCTTAGGCCACCGCTGTTATTGCTGCTAATAGCGACATTGTTCTTGGTCAGGCCAATGGAAACAGAAGACGCGAATGCTTGCTGGATCTGGTTCTGGTTGTGCTCGAGGGCGGCAAAAGTGGCAGCAGGCACCAGAGTAATGGGCAACGGGAGCAAAGGAATCAACGGAAAGTCGAAGTCCATCGGGTGAATGGCCTTGGAGAGAAGGACAAAGGGATGACAAACGAGAGCGAGAGAGAGAGAGAGTATGTGCGCACGCGTGTGTGTGAAAAGGAGAGAGTAATTTACTATCGTGAATATCCTTGGTGATGGTTGAGTGTACGAATGGGCCACGGATGCATGAACGAGGAGAATGAATGAATGCGCTCAGAGGAGCGAGTGGGTTAGTGAGAGAGCGAGTGAATTGTGCTTGTAGTTTGAAGTGGCAATGGAGGGTTGTGAAGAAGGAGTTTGGGGTGTTGAAAAGGAGACGAAAGAAGAGACAGGGTACATTGTGCCCATCACGAATAAAAGTAAATGGGGTGTTATCGTTATGCTTAAAAGACGAGTGAGGCTAAAGGAATCGCTGGTGGCCGCTATTTTCTGGAGACCAACATGTAGACTATCAAGCCATTTCATGTAGAAGAGGGACGATAGGCCAAGGGCATCATGTATTCCTGGCACTCCAGGAAGCCTCCGTGGCGCCTTCTTTGGGCGTCGGCAGCAGAGTTTCTTCTTGATCCCAGCCCAAGTGATCTGGTGTTCTTGATGGTGAGGGACGTTGAGGATGGAAACGGGAGGAAGTTATGGCCGAATGGGGGTAAGGGTCAGTGAGCAGACGACAGGAGGTTCGAAGTCCAGTGATGGTGATCGCTAGTGCCGAGTTAGCATCTCGTCCCTTAATCGTAAACCCGACCTTGTACGATACGATATCACCTGCTATTGTATGCATTCGACTGCACTCGGCCTTTGGGTTGAAGGCAGAAAGGACAAACCTGCGATGTTCTAGACTCGTTTATCATACAGATAACGACGTTCTGACGATGCTACTTCCTCAACTTCTTCGCCCACGGCGAGTGTGGCCGCCTAACCTGCTGCCGGGCATGTACCCGATGTGCCGGTGAACATGCGCGGCACCACCGCGGCGCGACTCTTGCGATAATGGCTGACGTGCTGAAGAACCTGTGGTGTCAGGTACATGGGGATATCGACAATCACCACAATAGCCATCAGCTTCTTCGATTGATGATGGAGCCCTATCTGTTTGGATAGTATCAGAAATGTTAGCTAACGCGTTTCAGACATTGGCGATGAAAGAGGCGCGTTACTCTGCTATAGCTTTACCTTGGAATGCATGGCGCTGTACTTTTTTCAGCTCCTGCGCGCAAAGGTACGCGCAGTCCGGCGCTTCCCGAGTTTCTACTGTCACTATTCCGGAGCATGCCTCTCGATGTGCTACGGTAAGTCTGAGCTGCGTCTACCTGGGCCAAAGTGGATGCGCCTACTAGACCCTTATATCCATCCGTGATGTATCGATTGTCTCGTTGAAGTCTCCTTTCTCTAACCCTGGCGTTCCTCTTCGAGTGGTTGCCTATTGATTTGAGATGCTATGATAATGGATGCTGTTCTTGTCCAGGATACGGCGGCAGCTCTTGTCTGACCTCGAGTTCTAGCAGGGCACAGGGAAATGATACGAGTTTTTTCCTCAGGTATTTTTCAGCCGCACCGGTAAAACGCTTGTCCATCCAATGCACAGAGATATCTGAGACGAGGTTTATGAATTCATACGAGCCTACACCAAAGAACACCCCTGCTTGAAAGAGCTCGAGGACGCAATACAAGCAAGTGCCCTGATCTACCCAACACCCCTGTACCGGCTATTTGTCGTGCTCTGTTACGATCTCAAACTGACAGGAAAAAGACAAAACCATGCTTGTGCAGCTATTCCTCGAGAGGTTACTGACTTCATCAAAAATTATATTTGTATCCAGGGCCGTCGGCTTTTGTTGACGAAGCAAGCAAAGACGGACGCTCTTATCTCAGGAAGTACGATTAGTCAACAAAGGAAACCCTGTCTTAATGGAGTTGCCGGTCAGTTGCGG